TCTATATACAGCCTATCATCCAGCTTTACTGGCATATAACGGTATAGAGGTCATTGGTGTTCAACCGACATTGCCTTCGGGTAAGACAATGATTTTCGGAAACAAAGAACATTTCAAAAATATTTTGCTATCATATTTAAAAAAAAAACTATCGAATAATAATAATTTTCAAAAAACAATGCAATGGATGAGAAATATTATTGACAAAAAAATCGTAACTTTTAGCGAAGAAGGATGAAAAATGGAAAGAAAAGAATTTATTTAGATACTAGTTTTATTTAGGTTTTCAATCTCTGATAATTATTTATTGTTAAAAATAGAATGTCTTCTAGTAAAAAAGAAAAAAAAATCATGTTCACACTTTATGTCTCAAATTACTTTTATTCTATTAGTATTCGATAAAGAACTTAAGAAAAACAATCATTATCAAATATAGAAAACAATAAAAAGTTTTTACATTATAGAAATAAACTTTCTATTTTTGTTTAGGTGATATTATATTCAGCAATACATGTGGTCCAATTGAAGCACATTCGAATGAATAAAAAAAGTACAATTATTATTTGTACAATACTTCTGTAATTTTTTCTTTGCAGAAACAGTAACATAGTTTGCTAATTATGTACTGCTTACATTTTTAATTATTGATAATTTATTCCAGAAAATTTTTTAAAATTGTTCTAATTTTTCATCAATTCAACAATAAATTTACCTGTTTTGTTTGATAAAAAATGTACACACTGTAGACTATGCAGACTCATAACTATCACGTTAAAATGTTGAAAATAAAAGAGCAAATAATTTTCTTTTTCTTTTTTCGTTCTTCATGTCATTGATATATTAACATGCTTGTTGACGGTTGCTCTACAAGCATGCTGCCTTACGCTCGTGTTTTTTTTCACAATCGTCAACCTACCTTTCCATGTGTGTTGTTTTTCTATTTTTTTTTAAGTTCTCAAGGTTGTAGTAAAGAAGAAAATATTATTAACACACAAAAGCGTCTTATTGATTGGTTACCTAGAATAGGAAAAAAAGGATTAATTGTGATTTTAATCAAATGGTTTAACTTTTATTTTTGAAAAAATATGATTTGGTTAATATTTCGATTCATTTTCTTTTCAATCAAATTTAATACAAAAATTAAATCTTACTGCCTTTAATAACGAATCGAATTTTAAATTAAAAATGCTACTTTTTTTTAATGTATTTAAACAAGACAAAAAAAACTCTAGATATAAATTATTAATTTTTTTATAAAATGAAAACAATACAGACGAATATGTTTTTTTTTAGAAAATAATTTTCTTTTCTCAGCGATAGAAGAAGTGGAAATATTTTTATGTTTTCTTGTATGTTATTTTCAAAATGTTCAATTCTATTAATAATCTTAAAAAAGTATTTCTCGTATTTTATTTAAATATTTTAATGTATAAAATTTTGTCAATCCGTTGCGTGTTTTTTGTTAGAAATCAAGAAAAATTCGTAAAATTTTCAAAACTGAAACCTGTTTGGCATAATTATCGATTTTATTAAAATTCATGAAACAATCTCTACAGAATTAAAATGATACAGACGACGTAGCTGGTTTTGCTAATCATAGAAAGATTGTTTTATTCTATCTATTTTGAGACACATTTATTTACCATTCTTTTATTTTATCCTTGAGAAATAAAGTCAGAAAGTAGTCTATATATCAACAACGTCTATCACTGTATGTGAGAAGGAGAGGAGTGACTGGATCCAAATCTTCACTTCTATACTTCAACGTTTCTCTTAAATCATACTTTTTACAAAAACTATGATTCATTATTTTATCGTACCAAGTAATATTTTTTCTCTTCCTCTTATTAATCATTCAGTGAAAAGAAGAAAAAAATGCATACTACTCTTTTTTCTTTTTGATTCTTCTACAACTATAAATTTATCTAGTATATTAATATGTAATCAAATTCGAAATTTTGTATTATAGCATTTTCAGTGTTACCATTGATTTTATTCATATATATTGAATAGTCGTGCATGGTTTTTTTTTACAAAATTTCTAGATAAAAATATCTCTGTTAAAAACCTTTGGATGATACAATAAACTTCAAAATTAGAACACAATATTTATTTTACGATTATTTTTCAAAAATTCATTAAGAATAATAATTATTATATTTAAATAACCAAATGAAAATCGACTTGTTAAGTTATATCTTATTGCAATCTTTTTTTAACCGTCTTCAACTACTTTAAGTGACACTCATAGGATTATTTATGAATTGAATAGCAGTACGAGACAATTTTTGTACTTTATTATTTACTATATGATACGAAAAGTATTCCGATTCATTTCGACTGTAATAATATATTTCTATTTTAAATGTTAATCGTAATACATTGTCAGCACTCACGGATTGGAGATCCTACGTTTGTATCTTTATTGTTTAGTATTTAAGTATAAAATACTTTTTTTTTCTTAGCTCTTTGTTTCTTGGGGAAACAAACGAAAACGTTTCTATTCATTTCTAAATAAAATGATATATAATAATAAAATTTAATCAAAAATTTGAACAAATACAAAAATAAAAAGTACGATTTAAATAATGATATCGCCAGTATTTTAATAAGATGATGCCATCGAGACTGGCACTTAGTTTCAAAAAATTCTTCATTCATTTTTCTACAAAAAACATCTGAAAAAAATATTATAGCATGTTATTTAAACAGATGCAGGCATCTTCAAGTTCGGTTTCTTTTTCGTAGTATTCAAAGAAATTTGTTACGATACAATACTCAGATTCTAAGGACATATTTTCTTGAAAAGTGAATATGAATCATAGATTATTTTCTTCTAACATAATGAATATGAAAAAAAAACCTTTGTCCACGAGATCAAATATCGTCAAAAAAATTAAACAGATCAAAACATTAATTAGATAGTGACCTTTTTCTGCGCATACGAGTGTTGATATTCGTTCGATTTCATGATTACATGTTGCATATATTCTGTGGATATGGTTTGCTACAGAATTGAACAGCAAAGTTTAGTTTTCAGTTTAACCTAAGTCTCTCAGATGAAAACTCATCAAAATATTGACGGAATACTGGTGCCATCATTATTTATAACTGCACTCTTGACAGGTCACTTGAATGGTTTTACTTATATTGAAATCAGAATACAGAATATTTTATAGATTATATACAAAATAAATAAAATAGTGTGTGATTGTTACAATGATTATTATTGTCGATGAATTTTTGAAAGCTATCGTTAATCTAGAGAAAACACATTCTCTATTTGTAAATAAAATGAAACGTTAATAACAATTAAAAATTTTTTGACTTATTTTCAATTAATATTAAAGTGTTGTTTTTTAATCAGACAAATATCTATAATATTCTTTCAGTTTTATCACTTGATAAGAAACTGCAAACAATGAAAATATTTCAAGAGAGTCTATTTAAATTGAATTCAACAATAAAATCAATTATTGATATTATTAACTGTGCAGTTCCATGTTTATACTTATAAAAGTAAGTAATCTAATTAGAAGTACTAAGATAAAACAGCATTTTTGAAAACTCGAAAATCAGTTCATGTTGAGTATTACTTGTCGGCGTTACGGTAGACAATAAATGACATATAAAGAATAATCGATGATAGTGAGACCTCTGTATCGTTTACAAAATACAGTATCATTGACCGTTGGTCACGTTCTCACTTATTTTCTACCCCGTTTTTGATTCAATCGTAATAATTTTTTCACATAATGATTATTTTATAAGTGATTTATCATATTAGATCTTATTTCGACTATTTTATTCACAACTCATAATGACACAACATACTCCTACATATTGAGCATCTTTTTTTATGTAATGCGATTAGACATGCAGTTGTTTTCGAATCAAAAGGTAGTAACATGAAGCAACAAAAGATAAATAGATTTTCTTTATCAAGGAACCATTTCTAGGACAAAAATTGACATTATTGTCTCGCACATATTGCTGCATGTCTGCTCATAATAGCTGCTCTGAGTTGAGCAAGCAATGTTTGTGTTATTTTGCTTGCTGTTTCATTAATTTCATATCGCTTTTCAGGCACGTATACTAGATTCTCTGTCACATGATTATTTTATTGAGCTTGTGTCATTTATGAGTTGAGTATGCTATCTGGTCTTGCGAATCATCAAAGCAATTTTTACGTATTTTCCATAATTCATATCAATTGATGATACATGAAAATTTGAGCTGTCCATCAACGTAGACATAACCAGTTGTTATCATGTAGCGAAATATCAGACTAAGAGAGATTTTGATATGTCTGCAACGGTTTAGCGGTCTTTCATGTAGATGATGAAATTTCTCGTACGGAGAGAATTCGAAAATTCTGTATTTCAAGAGTATGTTATAACTGTCTTTTATGACTACCTGGCTATGTCAAGTCTAGAATCAACATTACGAATACCATACAGTGTTTTCACTGTTGAGTTTCTCATAATAGTTATAATAGCACCATCATGTTTAATATTTTAGTCTCATAGAAATTGTGCTGAGAGTTTTTTTCTTCACTATTGGTTTCTATAAGTTTTCTCTCTCTTTGCATCTATCGATGGACGTAAAATTTCACAGCACTACAAATTCTACATAATAAATATGTAATAAATCACAATGACAAAGATTAGTTTCATGCTGTTTCAATAACATGACTCGATATGCGAAGAAAAGAAACAGCTTTATTATCAAATTTTCAAAAAAACATGTGAAAGCTTGAAAAAATTTATACCGGCTGCAACACCGATAAAGTGTGTCTACCCGTTGCAACACAAGTGCACATGATATTACCACTTGAAGATAATCAGGGTTATTAAAATATATATGCAAAAAAATGCACAAAGTATTGGTGAATAATATATAATCACTCTAAGAAAAGACAATTCGCGGTGTTGGATTAAGAGTTGAGAAAAAAAATTTAAGATGGACTATTTCGAGAGCGAGAGCAGCTATTATTTTTCTTAATTTTTTCTATCAACGACATAACTAACAACATCTTTAATTGTTTCAGCCCCTGATGGCCAACATTCATCAATTAATTTTAATGTTTGTTGACGAAATTCTTTTAAACGTTGTCGAGTACCTTCAACATCTAATATTAATACATAAGTTACTGTATTATTTTTTATATCAAGTGCTGCTGATTTACCAATATTTTCTCCTTCAACATCTAATAAATAATATTCCCATTAAACGATCTAATTCACGAATTTTATTAAGTTCAGTTGATTAAGTATTTACTGTTGATGATGATGAGATAGTTAAACTAGCTGACCCAATAATTACGACTTCAATTGTTTTGCCTATTTTGAACCATGCAATAT